GATCATTTGTCCTTGGTGCCCAGCTGGAGCAGGAATTGTTTTGTCTCCCTGCTCTGTGCACAGAGCTCACCATCCCCTCATATGAAGCCCAGAACTTTACATTAAAGAAGCACAGGATGTGAAAAATATAAAAGCCAAACCTGAGACATCAGGTTCAGCCTTTGCAGCTGGAGTGGGGCAGGTCCAGCTCAGCCCTTTCCCCTTGCAGGGCTCAGCTCTGCAGCCTCTGGAGCCTTTTTGCCCCCAGCTGCTGATTTTGGGGTACCAGCTGCTCCTGGGGTGCCATGGAGGCTGCAGTGGGATGGGGGTGACAGGGGGACATCCCTGAGGTGATGCCAGAGTCTGCAGTTCCCCCCAGACCTGGGATCCCTTAGGACAGGAGATGCTTTAGTGCCAGAACGTTTCAGCCCCAAGCTGAGGGTTAACTCTCTGCTGGCTGGGAGGGGGGAAGGGTTAAGCTTTCAAAACCAGAACATTTTTTTTTTGCAAGCAGAACTTCACACTCTCCACCCAAACCAACATTGAAGACCAGGGTATATTTGAGCCTGTCAGCTCTGCTTTTCTCTCTGTTGTTAAAAAACCCCACTGCTCCCTGCCTGAAAAAATGTCAGAGGGAAATTGAAAAATAACATTTTCCCTTTTTCCCGCTGCCACACCTGCTTTCCTTCCACAGCAACTGGCATTGCACCAGCATCCTGACAGTGTCTGAGCCAGTGGGTGCTGCTGGAGCTGGGTACAAGTGCCTGGGTGGGACCCTGGGTGCTGCATCATCCCACTGCAGCCTCCCTGGTACCCCAAAATCAGCAGCTGGGGGAAAAAAGGTTCCCAGGGGCTGCAGAGCTGAGCCCTGCAAGGGGAAAGGGCTGAGCTGGACCTGCCCCACTCCAGCTGCAAAGGCTGAACCTGATGCCTCAGGTTTGGCTTTTATATTTTTCACATCCTGTGCTGCTTTAGTGTAAAATTCTGAGCTTTATACCAGGGGATGGTAAGCTCTGTGCACAGAGCAGGGAGACAAAACAATTCCTGCTCCAGCTGGGCACCAATGATCCAAATCTCAGCCCAAGAGCACAAACCCTGGCAGAATGAAGAGAGAAAAAAAAGGATGGGACTGCCTGGGCTAAAGCTGGAATGGGACAATGAACTGCAAGATGCAAATGGAGCAGAACTGATCAAAGGGAGACACCCTGTGCCCGGTTGTGCATTTTGGGACAGGGACCCCACCTCTGGGAGTTCTTCCTCTGTAAAATGAGGGCATGGTGAAAGGAAGGGAAGGGTGTAGCTCAGGTGTTATAAAGATTGAAACACTCAGACACGAGCCACAGGTGCCCCAAAATCACTGGGATGTCACCACTGTGACCCCAAGAGCAGCACGGAGGATGGCAGCGTGCAGGGGCTCCACCTACTTAGCAGCTTGAAAGCATGGAAAGAAGTTCAAAGCCCATTTTAACCTGCATTTTTTTTCACCTCGTTATCAGCTGTGCTACAGGTGCTGCTGCCTCCACACTGCCTGCAGAGACAGCAGCTCCAGGTTTGCTTGGTTTTGTCACCTGGCTGAAAAATCAGGGACAGAGAACACCCCTGAAGGTGCTCACAGACAGAGGTGGGGAGAATCAATCCTTGCTGGGTTCTGCCCACCCACCTGGCATCTCCTGCCAGCTCAGAGCCAGAACAGAATCATGGAATGGTTGGGTTGGGAGGTACCTTAAAGCTCAGCCAACCCTCTCCATGGGCAGGGACACCTTCCACTGTCCCAGGGTGCTCCAAGCCCCATTGAGGCAGAGTGGAAATTTTCCAGGGTAGAAACCCATTCTGATTTAGGTAGAATGTACATCTTTGATTTAAGTCTGTAGCTTGCTGTTTGGTCTGACTGCCTGTTATCTCAAAGGGCTAAAGGACAAGAGATAAGGGGGGAGGAAGGGGGCAGACAGAGCAGGGCAACCTGACCCAGGAGTTCTTTCTGAAGAATTAGTGGCAAGCATCACTCGAAATCCGTGGAATGAATATGTATGAACCTATTGTGAAACTGCATGTGTTGTCATTATAGCTTAGCCCCAAATGCACGGGGTCATTTCTCCCAAATCACGTTGGGGTCACCATTTGTTCTCATTACATTGCAAGGGTTCCATATTGCTAGAGCTTTGTACCTTCTTGATGTTTCTTGTAGGCAGCTCCCCCAGGCACTAACACTTCCTTGTCCTCACAGCAGCCAACTGACTCCAGTTCCTACCAATCCACTCTTTTATAACACTCTTCTTATTGGCTACAGGTGTGGCCTGTTACCATCAGGGCTGCTCCTAATTTTAGTAATTGGTTCCAGCTGCAACTCATTGGGGGATAAGATTACATTCTATACTACCTTTATTTATTTGTATTCTATTTCCCTACATGCATGCATATGTATTTGAGAGGGAAATAAAAAAGGATATGGAGTCCCCAGAGGTACACATGTCAATTTAGGGGAACAATTCCCATGTGTCCAGCGTTGCAATAAACACACCAGCTTTACAACTTTCACAAAAGTCGTGGAGTTTTGTTTATCTCCGCAAGACACCATCCAGCCTGGCCTTGGGCACTGCCAGGGATCCAGGGGCAGCCACAGCTGCTCTGGGCAAGCACCATCCAGGCTGGAAAGGCTCTAAGCCACTTCACTGGTGCTGGTGGCCCCTGTGTTCTCCAGCAATGTTCTTTTCCTTATGGCACCAGCCAAAACTCTTCCTCACACCCTGGGGCTGAGCAGGACCAAAGGAAGCCAGCCCAGGGATGCAAAATCACTCTGACAGCAGGGAAAGCAAAGGTGTCTTGGCAATTACTTCAGCACTGAGCCTGCAAGTCTGCTGGTTTTGTTCGTGCTCATCTGAAAGCCTTTGACACATTCGAGCTGCATGTTTCTTTTATGAATATGCAAATCAAAGCAGTGAAATTACAGATAATGATATGTAGTCAAAACTTTTCAGAAGTTAATGCATATTCCTTATTTTGCAGATTTCTATCACATTTGTATTTGCAAAATAGATGAGATAACGCTGCTGGAGAGAACAGCTTTGCTGTCAGTGCAGCAGGCACACACCTTTCACTGGATCCCACTCTGGATTGCTGCCAGCTCCCTCCCCAGAGCCAGGGGTCCTCAGCAGCACCCCGGAATGCCCAGGCTGAGCTGAGCTGCCCCCTGGTTTACAGGGCTGCGTGGTGGCCCCAGGTACTGCATGTATCCCATGGCTCTGCTCTATGGGAATGTGTCCCCTGTGAGGGAGTGACAAAACTCTCCTTTGTCCCCTTGAAAAGGAAAGAAGCCCAGAAGTTTCTCTGCTCAATGAGATGAAAAGACACCTCATAGGACCTGAGGGACTTCATCTTAAACTTAAGCATAGCCAATTGTTCAGGAGCCAAAAAGTCCCACCTGGGCAATTGACTAGAAAAAGAAGAGAACAAGAACCTCTGGCACCTGGATCAGTTTTTCTCTGCTTGCTATTTTACCTTTTATTAAACCTTTTCATTTTCAACACTGCAACAGAAGCCATCTTGCTGATTTTTGTACCTCCAAAGGTAGCTGAGCTATCTTGGGTGAGAAATAGACCTCCAAGAGCTCATGAGACCTGGCTCAAGGAGGCTCCTATGACTCTGCTCTGGGGCTGTGACCCTGCTGTAGGGCTGGGACAAAACCCTGTGCAGAAACCCAGATTGGGGTCAGCTTTCCCAGGCAGGGGGCACAGGGGCTGCCTGGCACTTTGGGGATCAGCCACAGTGCCCTGTGCACTCCAGAAGGGTTTCCATGGAAAAAAAATAAAATTACTCATTTGCTGATCTGTTGCTGTCTTGCTACAAGCCCAGCTTTAGATACGATAGTAACATGATGCCAATGCCATCAAATACTTTTAAAATGAGGGTATCTTTCCACAAAGCAATTCAGTACTTTTCCAAAGTGAAGCTTTCAAAATAACACTGGTCTGGCGTGGTTTCTTCTTGTACACAAAATGTACAACCCCAAATATTTGGCTTTATTCTTGTTGTGGTTTAGCCCCAGCTGGTAACTCAGCACCACACAGCTGCTGCTTATTCCCCCACACCCCTGGGATGGGGAGGGGAACCAGAAAAATAGAACACCCAGGGGCTGAGATAAAAAGAGTTTAATAACTGAAATAAAGTAAAATAATAATATAACAACAACAAGAAGAGTTAAAATGGAAATTAAAAAAAAAAAAAAAACAAAACCAGAGACAAAAATAAACCCCAAGAAAGACAAGTGATGCCCATTACAGCCACTCACCAGCCCTGACTGATGCCCAGCCCAGCCCCCAGCAGTGATTGCCCCTCCTGGCCAGTCTCTCCCCAGTTTCTGTACTGGCCATGATGGTCTATGCTATGGAACATCCTTCTGGCCACTTGGGATCAGCTGTCCTGGCCATGCTCCCTCCTGGCTCCTCCTGCCTGCTGGCAGAGCATGAGACACTGCAGAGCCCTTGATTTAGGGTAAGCACTCCTTAGCAACAACTAAAACATCAGTGTGTTATCAGCATTATTCTCATACCGAGCCCAAAACACAGCACTGGCCAGATCCTGAGAGGAAAATTAACTCCATCCCAGCTGGAAGCAGGACAGTTGTGCTTCAGGAGGAATGTCAGAGCTGTAGATGGGAAATACACAATGCTCCTGGTTCCCACCCCTTTGCTGCTGTTCCTCCATGTGCTCTGTTACCAGGTGAGGTGCAGTGCTCACATCTGCCTGCTCCTCAGAATGTCCCACTCCTTCTGGAGTGCCCAGGGCAGTCACAGCTCCTGGGACCCATGGGGCTGTATGAGCCAGGTCCATCCATCCCTTCATCATCAAATATCCCATGGCAATTCCCTGGGGCTGAGCTCCTGTCTGCCTCTTGCCCAGGCTCTCTGCACACTGCTGGGCCTCCTACGGACCTTGGGGGCTGCCTGCACCTCATCCTGCTCCCAGCTGTTCAATTAGAGCCACGGAGCCATCCTCACTTCCATCCTGTCTGCTGCATTCCCAGTTCATCCCTCCAGCAGAGAAACGAACTGGAGGGTGGCATGAGGTGCCATGAGGTCCCCATTGTGGGATTCACATCCTCTGAACCTAAGAGAAGCAGAGAAGAGAATGATCAAAACAATTCTTATCTCATTTGCTGCTCCTGTGTTGTTCCAAAGCAGAATGCAGTGTGGAGATTGTTTACCCACAGGGATGGTGTTCTGTTTCCTTGGCCTGTCAGGGCCAGGTGTGTGCAGACTGTGGGTCAGCAGGCAGTCACAAGATTCAGGGCAGTTGAGTTGGGTGCTTGTGCAGATTCAGTTCAGATATAATATAATATAATATAATA